GCTAGATTATATATCGAATTCTTGCATACTAAAAAAAAGAGAACTATGATCTGATCCCTTGTTATTTGAATAATTAAATTATTTATATGCAACATTGTATCCGACTTATGAAAGCCTGACATCGTCAAGGCGACGACAGTCGTTCTCAAAAGGTTATTTTTCAGAAGGTCTTAATTCAGAAGTTTATTTTGTAACACTGAAAGCGTACCAATTATTGAAAACTACTCGAACGGCAGGACTTTTTATACAGTGAAAGAACATACGTGCGCACTTGCGCCGGAACGGAAAGGTCACTCATTCAAATTCGGTTTTTCCCCTTCATCATGATAAACTGCACGATCACGTTCCGAATCCAATCGCGGAGTAACGAATTCAAGAACTTCCTCGGACTGAATCGCATCACTGGATGGAACGAGTCGCGTCCCTTGGCAATCGCCTCTTCGAGTTGTCAGAGAAAAAATATGGAACAGGAGCGGCAGAGATTTTATGAAAATTTCTGGGTTGCAGCTTTTCGAACGCACGCGAGATTTTATCGACGTGCATTATTCGTTGATTAATACAGTGGAGAATAAAGACATATTTACTCTCTTGTCGCAGACGTGCATCAATTCCATATGAAAAAAACGTTTAGTTATTTGTTTAAACTGCTTCATAACATTGGACTCGTGTTGAATATTTTGCATTGAGTTTCATTTGTATAGATATTATTTACACAGTGTATCGATTGTTTAGAACATGTTTTATTTATGAACCTTAAAAATATAGGATCCATTCTCAAACAAATGAAATATGGTATGGGAAAAGCGATAAAATATCTATTCCTCGAATACACTTTCCTTGTTAATCCCTTTGCTTATGATTTCTTTGGCGATTGCGCTAGAATTATTTTGTAATTAATCATTTACTAGAAACAAAGGATAATTCCATGTTCATCTGTATTCAGGTTTAAAGTCTACCAATTGATCAGAGAAAATATTTCATTTGAACTCAAAGAATTGAGTAATATTAATTTTTGTTAATTTCTGTTTGAAGTGTTCTTTACGAGTTTGACGCGTTATTGTATAGCAAGGGATTAATTCGGATGCGGGTGAACGTTATTGTTGTTAAAATGGTCATTAAGGTGCGACTTAATTCTATTCTCGTAATGTTCGTCGGGACGTGGCAACGGGTGTTCCCTGTTTCCCGAATTTTTCTAAGCCATTAAAAGGGTCCGGGTGGTAAGAGGAAGGGCACGCTTCCACGGTGGGAAGGATCGGGGGCCGAACGCGCGTGTAAGCTCGTAATCTCGATACCGATCTAATCCCTAAACTGCAGGCAGAAGGGCGACTTGAATCGTGTCGGGTCGGGTCAGGTCGCCTACGAAAGTATTAAGTTGCCGCGTGAGTTCTGCCGGCCGCACTTTACGCCCTTATAAACGATTTGTGAGTAGTCCCCTTCGTTCGAGTCGTTCTGAACTAGAAGTAACCATTTCTAAGATACTTTTACTAAACTGAATAAGTAGAAGTAATAATTTTTTAGGTATTTTTATTAAACTAAGTAAGTAGGAAAAGAAAGAATTTTTAATGTACTTCTACTAAACTAAGTAGAAGAAGCAACCATTTCTGACGTATCTTCCCTAAACTAAGTAACTAGACAATAACTCAAAACAGAGCAACAAGTAATGGAAAGGTAGCTAAACAAGGTCATAGTTAGAAACTGCCCTTTCCCGTAAAAGAGCGTCTCAAACGAAAAATAATTTCCATTTCCTTCGAACACCGCTGCAATTTGATAAATTATAAAATAAAATGAATTTCCCAAGCCCAATCTTCTCGTTTTTCCAACGTACATACCGTCACAACTGAGAAACGCGTGGACAGTAATTCAATATTTCCATCGAACTACAAAATCAATATTCCAATAATTCGTTGCTTCGTTACGAACAATATTCTTACTCCTCCGTCGACATTATTTCAAACGGTTCATCGGTTCAACGACAGAATCACTGTAAAAAAAAGAAAGAAAAAAGGAAAAAGAACAACCGATCGGACGTGCGAGAAGAGCACACCTAATTAGAAGCGGCGCGTAGGGGCGCAAACGGGGTAGATTGTTCGATCGATCGCGATGATTTCTGCCCCGGCACGACTGCGAAAGCAACACGGTGCATATGCTCGGCAGCCGAGCACGATGACGCCATGTGTTTCCAGCTGGTTTACGGGGAGAGGGTTCGACGGAACACGGCCGATGCCTAGGGGCGCTATATAGGGTGCACGAAATGTTCTGGGTCTGTGGGCTTCCCGTGCAACGAGCGTCGGCCGAGGGTGGCCGAGGGTGGCGGCTACCCCTACCAGCTGGCTGCCTTCCGCGTACGAACCAGCTCGTGCCCGCACACCGCTTCGCACGCTCCCCAACCCCCTTTTAATTACAACAATAACAACAGTAACGACTATAACAACGATTACCTATTCAGAATGATAACTAGCCGGATATTTACGCATTTGTAGTGCAGCCTAGCTCGTCGAATACAACGGAATAGAGATTCCAATTAATAACGATACGGACGTGGCGATTAACCCTTTGAATGCTGTGGACGCATATACGGGTTATTCGATCTTTTTGTTCTCACACGTGCCCTGATGACAATTACAAGTGTATGGCATTAACATACACGTTCCTTGATATTATGTAATTTGGAAAACTGAGGAATTACAACTTAATTACGGTTGTATAAATTAACATGGTTCATCGATCTTCGGATGGCAAGCTGAGCTAACGAATATTCCATCCACACAGAACGTTTCGGCTGAGAGTATTAAAAGGATTAACATGATGCCTGGTACGCGAAATGATGTTTCATAGAATTTTCGTTTTGGCAAATCAACGGTTGAAATGGTGAATTTGCGCCGTTATCTGTGGTTTAATGATAGGAAACAGGGAAATGCTGAATTGAGAGCTCGTGTGAGTTAATGGATTGATCGAAATGCACTGATAGAAATGTGGTTTTTATTTTAGTGATCTTTTTGTAGCGTGTTTTGTAGACTGTTGAGTTTTATAATGGATTATGTGTGAATGTAGTTTATTTAGGATTCCGTCGTGCACAACTTACACTGGACTCCGAGCCTCTTCTTTTCCTCGACAAGATAAAGGATCTCGAGTCGCGTTCACTACGTTCTCGCTTTTTCATTATTATTGTCACAAGCCAAGGAATGTCCAAGGTGTATCTCCGGAATATCGCGTTACTTTAGAAATACATCCACCTCTTAAATTCTTTGTGTGACTTCAATTCGCGTCTCGAACACGGTTCCGCCGTTTGGAACCCCGAATATAATTACTTACCCGCCGCGATTAAATTACGCGTAACGTAAATCCCTCCCGTTTGTGTCGCATAAACTCTAAGAGCTCTTCAAATATGCACAAATTGTTGAATAGTCGTTCGGTTTGCCCTGAAATTCTCTTGCTCGTTAAATTTTACGCACCAATTAGAGATCTTAGGAGTACCGGGTGCGTACTATACACTGAAAACCATTGTATTGTGTTCAGTGAATATATCGTGGATCTTTCACGTTAACAATCTTCGTACTTCGAACGTTTTCATTTTTTATTGTAAATAAAAAGCTGCAATTTCCCATTGCTTTCTGATTCTTCTAAATTTTTTACACTACGTTTACGAACATTTATTGCACGGTATAGTGTATTGCTCCTAGAAAAATTCATGTTTGTTCATTCGGAGTTTAGAAGTTAGAAGTATAAAAATAAATAATTGAAGTACCTGCTGGTGTAATTGCATTAATCAAAGTCGACGTAAACATTTACACAAATAGTATTTATAAAATTCAATATGCGTGAAATTGATGCGTTCCGTAAACCTGGTGTTCACTTCATTCCAACGCGTTATATTTATAACATCATCTTCTTTACTTCCCCCCTTCATTCTAAAGCAATTTTTATTCTGCTTCTTTTCACTTTTGCACTCCACTCGCAACGTACCGCCTGTTTTCTTTAACACCAGAACTACTGTACCAGTCAAGATGGCCGGTTTTAGTGTTCTTATTTTGCAATTATTAATATTTTCAAAGTATTCAATATCCGAAATGATTTTGAAAATAAATAGTTTCACTTAAATGTTATAAAAACTATCTGAATAAATCTAAAAAAAAGTGTATTGTTACAATCTTTATAAGCATTATATATCAACCCTAATAAACGCACGGTAATTCTAATGTTAACCGCGCCTTAGAAATTTCTCCAACATTTCATTATTCGTATCCACCGTCTTATTCTTCGGCTTATCCATCGAGAAAAAAATGTTTCGCACGAATCTTCTCCAAAAGCTGATTACCTTACGACAGTAGAAACTTAATGGAATACTTTAATGTGCTCTGTTGCTCGGTTTCCTTCGTTAATCTCAGCAATCCTCATACAAGTAGCATTTTTTTACGCGTCCAATCATCGAAGAGGCAATAACCCATGTTCATTCGAACACCGGATATAGCCGATAATGAATGGAAAGAGATCGAGCGCCACCGTTGTTGTAAAACGAAACTCGAACAGCGTTCGAGAAAGGAGCTGAAGAAAAGGGAAAAGGAAGCAGGGGAGTTGAAAGAGGGCAGAGTGAGAGAGAAAAAGAGAAAGGGGAAAAAAGGGAATTAACGGAAATGGTTAAGCGAGAGGTCGTAAAGCATGTTTAAAGGCGGAGAAGGACGATAAAGAACGTATCTCGGATGAAATGCCTCTTCCGAGCGCGTAGTTAGATTACTGCGGAGCGAGACGCGCGAAGGTGTCTTGGACCTTAGTGCCTTTGGCCGGGACAAAAGATCCATTTTCTCTTCATATTGCAAGAGTTTTAATTAAACGGGACGCAACTACATCGGTCTTCCATAATTGACTGATGCCCCGGACGTGTCGCTCGATCTTTTAACACTTTTGAACCGAAAATTGATCTCAACCGAACCTTCTCAAACATTCTCCTACACTCCAGGTCTTTCCCGAAATTTCCCTTTGCAACATTTCCTCTCGGAACTTACCACTTTTGAGCGTCGATGCACGTCGTGGTCATCAACCATCTTCACGCTACGTTCACGCCTTTCTTCTTACAATATTTAATCCTTGGAATACAGTTCTTGGATCTTACAGAGCGTAGATGGTGAATTGGTGGCTCGCGGGCTGCTACTTCCCTTCCGGTGCTGAGCAAACTCCTCTAGCCTCGTGCCATAGCCGTAGTAGCGTCAACTAATTCAAATATATGTGACTATAGTGGTACTTAGTCAAGGAAAAATTCGATTGCAACAGTTCAAATCTAACTACATATACGTTAATGAACTTTATAATTTACAATTTAGATTTTCATAGTTTTTAGAATTCTAAATAAACCGGTTTCAGTCGAAGTTGTCAGCGATTATGGAGTGTCATTGTTGTCCAATAGAAATGTGTTGTCATTTTTAGTTGCAATCGCGCGTGGTTTATAATACTATACGAATACTCGGTATATAATTGGTATACATAAACAAATTCTACCGTGCAAACAATGAATACAAACGAGTACACGGTGAAATTAATGATTGCAGCGCTTCAACTTCAAACGCGGAGATGTATTTAAGGGAAAGGTCCAACAAATGATCCAAAGAGTCTGCGAGAGGGCAAATCCAGTGAATAGGATCAGTATACACAATACTAGAAGCATAAAAGGGAGGCTTGAATGGGTTTATATAACGAAGACGAAGTACAGGTGAACCGATGTTAAGCCTAAGAGATCAGAACTACTGGAGCGACCGTTATGGATCGCCGATCGTATTCTGCAAACTTCGAACTTCCATCAATTGATCAATGATTTACATCGTTCCCAGCAACGACGGACAGAACATGGAATATTCTATCCGCGAATCCTCGAACGTAACGAGAGGCGAGCGCGAAATAATAATTGGACGAGACGAGTTAACGGAAATTCCAGGAAGACAGCCGGTTGGCCGGAAAACTGCATCGTCCGCTCCGCGAATGAATTATTTAATAAGAGAGGAACGGAAGTTCGAGGCGCGCGAAGCGGCGGCGGAGTGCTCGCGCATCGATCCGTCTTAAAGCGCAATTAAGCGCGCGCTCGCACGCTCGCTCTGTTTTTATCCCGCGGAGCATCGAATGCACGCGGCTGCTTACTTAACGAGCACATCGCGATGTTCCGACGTAATTTCCTCGCGCGGACCCTGCATCGAAAGATGTCCATTGTCTGTTTCTCGCATCGCGTACGCTCGGTCGACCAATAAAACCAGTTAACCCTTTTCCGAGCAATATCGAGTCGGACTCGCGATAAAAATTTTCAACCGCATTCGACGAATGTAAATCTTATTTATTTAGATAAATCGAAGATCGCGGTAGCTAAATACTACAGTCACTACGATCTTGGATTATCAATCGATCAACGTTAAATCAACCGAACTGGATCATGGATAGTCCTTCCAACCGCCGTAGATCGCTTACAGATCATCATACTTTACGACAAACGAGCTTCAAAATGGCAAAAATACAAAATTTCATATACATGAAATATTTCTTAATTATTATCAATATTTAACCTTTACAGTGAACGTAGATATGGAATAAGGATCGAGTTCTCTTCTTCTTCAATTAAATTATTAATATAGCAGTTGCACCAAGCACCGTTGTGACAGAATCCATAGGACAAGGGGTTAACGAGCAAGGAACACGTTGACGCGCGTTGAATCCTCCCACGCTCGAATTAACTCGTTCGTCGAGTCCTAGGAGCCCGCGATTTGCTCGTAAATGCGATTAATCGGTTTGTTCGCTGATTAGGATCAACTTGGATGGACTGCTTCAGAACCGTGAAACGTCGAATGTGGTTGGATCGCCGTTGCTATTGAGCTATGGAATTAACTACTCCAGGATCACTTCTCGGTGGTTGCTTGAAATTCATTTTGGTGCCAGAATTAATTTTTAATTCATAGTTATTCATTTCTTATTATTGCCACTTTGAAACTCGTTTGTTGCGAAGTATGATGATCTATAAGCGGTCTAAAAATCAATAACTTTAAAAGTATGAGCGATACAGAAAAATACTTCAGACAAAAGTTGTAAGGTATAGAGCTAATCGTATAGTGGTTATACTTTTTTACATTGTGGAGATATTACTAAGTTTCTTAAATGACAAGGAATATTTTGCGTTTCAATTCAAACGTTACATAAATAGAGAAACGAAATCTATTTGCACGCAATTTTTATTTTTAAAATGATAATCATTTTGTATAGCAGGGACTACTTAGCAACACATTGATAACCTTCAATTTTCGTTACCTGAATAGTCGAATTTGAGCGTTTTGTCCACAGGCGATCGCACTGTGCACCGGCGCTTTTTCCATATATGGCGTCTTAGATTAGCTATGTACTACCAGTGGTGCATGTCGGTGCGGACGTGTTGACGTTAATCGATCGATAAGCTAAGATCCTAGGGACGTAACATTTAGCTATCGCGGTCTTCAGTTTATCTAAGTGTTTCGAATAATATTCAAGGAATACGGATATTAAATTAGAAGATAACAAGGTATGAAACATTTTTAAATGCGACTTACGTTGCTCCGTCTCGTAACTGCAGATATACCAAGGAGTATCGTAAAGTTTAGTCAGAGGACGATAACGAACAGATAAGGACGATCGTGAACGAATAAGCCGGGATGTTGTTTGCGATAGAAGACGTTACGGTCTGTTTTTCGAAGGAAGAGCCCCGAGGTACACCGACAATAGCTGTCCACCTTACCACAAATCCTCCGAATTGATGATGCTTGGCTGGCCGAAGTAGCGTGGTATATATCGTGACCGTACACATGTCACCGAACTCTTCCCCCGATAAACGAGCCACGAAACGAATGAAATGAACATTAGGAAATTAATACTATATTTTTCCGTCAATTTTATACACATTGAATTTTATAAACATTATTTGATAAATATTTACATCGATTTTGCTTGATGTTACACGAATATGTATCCTGTCTATTTTTGAACCTCTAATTTCTAAGATCTAAATGGACGAAGATTCCATTTACAATTATTTCCATAAAACTTTTTCTGAGAACAACAGGATTAAGTACACAATAAATGTCCGTAAACCTAATATAACAAATACAGAATATTATGGTTCTCTTTTCTCCTGTTCTCTAGATTATTCGCTCGACGAAAATGATCGTTTCCCAGTGAAAAATGAAAAACAAGCAAAGAAAAGTCTGTGTTACTCGGATTCGCAGAACACCAGAGGGACGCGAATGCAATGAAAACAACGGAGAAGCGGGGATCCGGGTAAACTAAACGCGGACTGCGTAAATGACATTCGCGGCGATCGAAGATAAGAGAATGCGCGTAACCGCGAAAGGGAGGAAAGTTGCGCTGGTGTAATCGTGCGATGATTTCATACTCTCTCGCGGTCTACCGCAGCGCGGTTTACTTTCTGAGAAGAATGATTCGCCGAAAGACGACGGAAGGGAAACTGGTCAAATCGAAGCCGAATTTATGAAACAGCGAATCGCGATATTCCATCGTTGTGGAATGGTTCCTCGAACCGTTTCTACTGTAGAAAGATGATTTGGACGATACAAAAACTAAGGCAGTCTTTCGCTGTGTATTTTGTTAAAGGTAAGTCGTAGAGAGATGGTCCACTTTTTTTAAGCGAACTGTTACATCGTAACTGTCATTGATACCTAAGAAAAGGAAAATATATGAAAGTAGATTCATTTTAAAAAGAATACTTAGGTAAACCTCTGTGCAAGATTCAATATACCACAAAAAACAACTGAGAATATAGATATTTTACAATGCAAATGAGATCAGGCCATCTCACTCGGAATTACTCTATAGTTTTGATTCGTTACTAACTGTATCGACAAATAGCCAATTTGCATCGTAAGGAAGATGAAAAACAACCAGACCCACGTTTTTCAACTTAGGTATCATGTGATCTTTTTACAATACCTTCTTGCGTGACAGTGAACTTGAACGTAAACTCAAGGTATGACCCGCAATAATGTGATCAATGGAGGTTGCGGGTCTGCATTACGATTATTGTCGATACAGTATAAGATCAATGAGTTGTTACACGCAAAGCAGTGTAAGCGTTGGAACCCTTGCGAACGTTGCATCGAGACAGTTGGATTTAGCGTATTGCCCGAGTACTTGCTGGAACAAAGACGTTTGCAATGATGTTCTAATGTTTTCGAATCGTATCAACATTCTTCTCGTGTAAACGTGGAATTGGATGTGCCGTTTTCCGATTTCAGTCGGTACGCCGCTGCGTGCGGATCGATGCTACAGCTCTCCGTATACTGGGCCGTAATTAACTACGAAATCAGTTAATTGCATTAGCGAGGTCGGTGTTGCGGGTTCAGGGAGGCTGGTTCGAAGATTGGACGTCATCGGATCGGTAATATTATTTACAGTTTCGCCCTGCGATTCCGCGAGTCGCGAGTAATTCGTGCGAAAGCCTTTGAATCGCTGCGAAGGGGAAGGAAATTCAAATAGCATTACGGGATTGGTTTACTGAAATAATTTTGCCAGCAATGTTGTTAATACAGCATTGAACGAAGCTAACGGAGAAGATGAATATTTCCTGTTCTTATTTTATCTTCAAGTTGTATTGCATTTATTGGTAGATGCTTGTGGTCCGAATCATTTCCTATTCCATCATCTTAACACTAACTGTACGATCGGGCATTTGACCGGATTTAAAATTTGATTAAAAATGCGGTTCCTGCGTTTCCATTCGTTCATTTAATCCTTTAACCGCGGAATCCACGTCGCTTGAATTTTTAAAAAAGTCTATTTGTGAACTGTATCACGCCCAATTCTATTCTATTATAATTCTTTTTGTAATAAATCAGTACAAATTTTCGGAGTGTTAACTCTACATCGATTCCACTATTACACATTAATGCCTTACTTAATCAGTTTTCAATGCTTATCTCTCCTTTTGTTTCCATTTCTACTAAGGAAAACCTATCATCTACCTCGTTTCCCTTTGGTTAATAACCAGTTATTCGACTGGTTATGACGGTAATAGGCATGTAGAAAATGACGGCACATTCAGTGCTAAGTTGCAGTCCACAAAGGAGCATCAGACTTTTCGATTCTAGTCAGCGACAAGATGAAGCTTCAACCCTGTCTCAACGCGTAACGAGATTGATCTCGAGTGACGAGATAAACAGACTCCCAGGCCTGCGGAATATCTTCTGCCGAGA